AGAGGGGAATGCCCTGCCACAAAGGCATGGTGGGATGGGGGGATGGGGGGTGGGAGGGATACTGGGATCCATGGTGGTGGGAAATGGGCACTGGTGGAGGGATGGGGATGGGTATTTGATCACTGCATTGAAACCCAAGCAGAAAATTTGTAAGTCTACAACTGTACCTCATGGTGTCTTACTAATAAAAAAATTTTTTTTAAAAGTGGGTGAATTAAAACTTCAGTTTCAGTGCCCTCCTACACTTTGTCTCTTGCCAAAATCTCCTGTTAGCTAAATCCAACCAGAAACTGGAAGTGAGTGGTGTTTGTTGAAATAGTCCCAATGGGTCTGCTTTGCCAGTGTAAAAGCAGAAAAGTAGAATCTGGAAAGAAGAGAATATATCTGAAGGGGGAATTAGAAGATGTCCAACAAAGACAGTACCCTTGAAAAATCGGAACTATCCTTCAACTCTGATCTCTTTTACAACTGCAACTCTGATCTCTTTTACAACTGTGAGGTGTTCTAAATAAGCTAAATACCAATTTGCTCTTGAATTATCTCCTTATTAATTTAAACCTGATTGTAGAAAGACAATGATTAACATTTTTACTTTCAATTTAGTGAGCATGACTATTTCTTGTACCAGGAAAGGGCTCAATTGGCTGAGTTTGTTTTTAATGTGGAAGACTCTGGCTTTGATCCCCAGCACTGTATGGTCCCTCAGGACCATTAGAAGTGACTCCCAAGCAAAGTGCTGGGAGTAGCCCCTGAGCACTGAAGGGTATATGAGTATTGCTCTCCCGACAAAAAAAAAAAAGCTTTCTTTACAAATGAATAAGATCAATGGCTAAGTTTTATACAGTTTTCTATAGCTGACTTCCTTCACTTTAACCTTAAAAAATTATCTGGCAACATTTCTCAGTCATAGGCTGATAATGCAGGAACCACCAGCTTTACGACAGAAAACTTTCTCATTCCACAGTTTGATCTACAAATGTCTCCAAAGGATCTCTAAAGGAAGTGTGGAATTTGGTGAAATGAAGCAATTGTTGAAACCAAGAGTGAGACTGCTTTAATACAAATATGTAATGTGTAATTCAAAAATAATGTGTAAAATGGACATGTATAGAACTCTTCACAAACCATCTTTGGCTGTTCTACATTGAATAATACACCTGCTTATAAATACTAAAGGTAGAATATCTAGAAAAAAATCCCCTTTTCAGTTGTGGTTCTTCCTTTCATCGGGTATGCATAAAAAAATCAAGAGGTAGACAGATTATCTGATCCGCATTCTCTGTGATCTGGAGCAATTATTTGTACTTCCAGACCCAAATAAACACCCATCTTTCAGAGGAAGAGGCTGGAGGAAAGGTATTTGTCACATCCCAATATTATTACACTAAGGTTTGACGCCATCCACTTTTCCTACTCTACTGAAGAGATCTCTCTCGTTTTTCAAGCATCAGTTTGTTTTTCCTTCTGTTTTTCTAAATCTAATGATCCTATTATTTAATAAGATTTTTTGTTCTTGAATATTTGACCCACTCCTTTAAAAGTTTACATGAAAACTTTTACATGCATTTACATGAAAATGAGTCCACTCTAAATACTTAGGACATTAAGAGTAAAAAATAAATAAACTTAGAAGAAATAAATCAGGATTGAAAAAGAAAGGGAACTATTATTAAAATTAGAAAATGCTTAGGAAATAAATGTAAGACAAATCTTTTAGTGGGACTAGGAGAAAACACGGTTGTTCATAATTCTTCTCTGGTCCATTTCTTGATGAGAGTATTGCATAATCTCTCTGAGTAACCAGACTGCTACATATGATGTCACTTCTGTTTCCTACCATGCGAAGTTACTATTTTTGACCTTGCCTAGGATTTCCCAAACAGCACATCTAGATACTGCTCACACCTTCAGCATTTGAACAAAAGAGAAAAACAGGTAGAAAAATGAAGAGGAAGATGAAAAGAGAAAGAGAAAACTGAAGAGAAAATAGGTAGAAAAATAGATCAATGAAAAGAGAAATTAAGAGAATACTCTTTCACCCATGAGAAATTTTCATAAATGTGCTTGCTTACCTGAATGTTGCTCCAGGCAAGGCATAGTGAATTCCAAAAGAATGGCAGCAGCAGCAACAACAACATCAACAAATAGAAAAGTAGAACTTGATAGATTTGGTCTGATTCCTGACAATGACCTTCAAAAAAAATATGTATTTCATGTACAGCTAACGACCACTCCTTAAATGGCAATAATGGCCTCAAGCTGAAGTTGACTTCTAACCTTAGAGTACTCCAATATGTCTATTTGGAAGATCAGACCTCACTTTGGGGCATGTCTAACTTTTCACTTCTTGTAATGTCTCCTCTGACCTTCTCAGAATGTGATCATCTTCCAGTACACCTGAGCTCTTTTCTTCTGCCTAACCTTGCCTAGGATTTTTTTTTACCTTCCAGCACCTTCTACCACTTTCTAGCATTGAGAAAGTAAGTATATAGTGAATAAACCAGTTACTATAAAATATTTTCTTCTTCAGAGGAACTCACAATCAATAGAAAAGATTGGAAACATAACTTTAATATTATCTACATCAGTTATCTACTTATCAGATAAAGTTATAAAATGAACAGTAGACAAAAATATGATTTAAGGAAAGGTGAAGACAGGTCAGAGAATGCTTTTGGAGATGTTCAGTGATAGGAGCTTCAAATGACAGGAGAATACTAGTACCTAAATACATGAGGCTAGGAAGAAGAAAGCTTAGTACATATTTCAAGTCTATTAGCTTCATGTTGTTTTTGCAGAAGCCTAGAAAAATAAAGGAGCAAAGGCTGAAAAAAAAATGGCTTGAGTGAAAGAAGGAATCATGATAGTATGTGTCAAGAGGTTTTTCATTAGTTTGGGGTTTAGGAGCCACACAGAGGCCATCTCAGGCCTGAGAATGTCACTTCCTTCCTTGTGCTGAAGGGACAATGTGATAGCAGGGATTGAACTCAGGGCCCCCAAATGCAAGACAGGTTCCTCAACACTGCTCCGGCTTCTTGGACCTCCCAAGAATTTTTTAGCAGGAAAGTGCTGAAAGTCTTCAGAACAATAAACGGAGGGAACTAGTTAGAGTCAAGAGTTCAGAGTGTATGTAAAAGGAAAGAGATACATTGAGATACCTTCCTCCCTTCCGGCCTCATTTCTTCAAAGATGTACACATAAGCAAAGTTCTATTTCTGTCTGTCTCTGTCTCTCAGCCTCTGCCTCTGTCTGCCTCTCTCTCTAGCTCTCTCAAAGTTTTCAAGAACAAGCAGAAACAGAGACCAAGAAATTTAGAGCAAGTGTGAGCAGCACGAGTGAGGAACTGGGAGGAAGAGAAAGCAAGTTGACTTCCTCAGTTACACCTTCTGGCGAGCTTCCAAAAGCAGAGAAACTGACTTCAGTGCCCGTCTTCCTACCCCACGTCGAACTGCTTGCTGCCAGAAACGTCTCTGATGTCAGGGCAAGAGGATCAGGCTTTGACATTACCGTCTAACACCCTGAAAAGATCGTAATGGGAATGCCTCTGCGCAAAGGATGCTTCCAGGAGAAAGTCAGACGAGCATTCCAGAAAAGCGCGTTTTGAAGTCAGTGAATCAGCGACTTTCCTGATTACAGATACTTCTGTTGCTACAATATTTATTCCCGACTTCAGCCGGACAAAAGCTGGGTTCAGCTGTGCGGCTCTGGCGCTGGTCCCCGCGGCCCCTGCGGGCCCGTGACGTTGGCCGGGACGCACGCGGTGCGCTCTGCTCCCAGGAACTTCCCGGGCCGGGCTCCGCAGGCCGGGACACGCGCGGCTGCGGCGGAGGGGCGGGAGGCCGCGGGTAGTCTCCCGGCTCACAGGTCCCGAGCCCAGAGCCGGCCCCGCAGGTGCGCCCTGCGCGCTGGACCGCACCTGCCCCGAGCGACGCTGTCCCCTGCTCCGCAGGCTTGGGAAGGAACACGGGGCCCGCCGCGTTGATTTCCGAAGTCCTTAAGGCGTAGAAGCAGCCAGAGGAGACCACCGCCCCCCAAGCGCCCCAGCCTTAAAGAGGCAAGGAGTAAAGGAGCTTCGCAAAGGGAGTTTCCCTGGCGCCAGGGCCAGGGGCGCTTCTTCCCCATTCAGTCCAAGTCTGAAACCGGTTCCCCCAAGCCCGGGTCAGTCTGGCACACATGATGCCTTCACAGAGGACGAAGAGAGCATCTCTGGTGCCTGCGGATTCTCTCAGCGCGCCAGAGAAGGAAAAGTGCTAGTGCAAAGTGACCAAAGGAAAGCTCAGAACGGAGCGCTCAACAGCTTTGAGCATCTGCAGACACCTGGTGTTTCCCCCATAAAATGGGGACTTGGTTCCTGAAGGAGAAAGATGTGCATGTTTTTCTTAAAGCACATACAGACACACATAAGACTGTACGATTAAAAAAATGGGGGTGGGGGAAGGTGAGAAAAAATTATGGTGATTTTCACCAAGGTTAAAATTTCATACCTGGAGGAAAAATTGGCAATTAGCTTGAGGTTATTGTGGCAATCATTTCACAATTTATGAAATCCGACTCATGCTGCTTGCCTTACATCTATACACAGATGATGTACACAGGATAAATGTATGTCAATTATTTCTCAATCTAATGTGTGTGAGGGGGTGGGAAAGGTTTCTAGCTAAAGCTTACCAGACTTAAAAAATCCCATAGATTTGGCTAGTCCTATTTTTTCTTTCATGTCATCAATTTAGTATTCTATAAAGGAAGAGAATGACACCAAGGAAAATCATTGGCCTAGGAGAAAAGAGCCCGTAGGCGGTTAGGTGTTATATATGTGGGGCCAGAAAGCTCAGGAGTATCTGAGAGAATCCAGCTTAAGGCAACAACATGGAGGAAAATGGACTTGGTGTGTAGGGGAGCAAGAGGGGCAAGAATCTCCTGGCCCTTGCCCCTTCCGGCTGGGCTCTTGGGTCTGGAGGCTGCTCAGTCTGGATAGAAAGTTTAGTGTGGAAAGGGTGGAAATGGGTTCCGAGTCCTTTGCTGGATGCCTTACTGTATTTCTCTTGTCAGTCTTTTTCAGGAAGCTCTTCTTCTTGCAAATGGTAGGACTGGTACTAACCTACAACTTCACTGACTGCAATATTTTAAAGATTAAAATGGATTATCAGAACATCATTGATAAAGCCCTGAAGGAATACATAAATAAGGTAAGTAAAGACATTTTGAAATAATATGTTTTTATGGAAAGAATAGGCAAACCCAAGGCAGTGCTCTCATTTAACTTGAAAAGAAAGATTCCTCTGGAGGAATCTTAAAAAAAAAAATCAAGGGAAAAAAATCTTGGCTCAGCAGTTTGTCTAGTTTCTTTCACAAATGATATTGAGATACTCAGCTTTGTTGTGTTTTTTTCTTTTTTTTTTAATGACTAGTAACAGTTGGTCCACATGAGACATGTAGCTGCTGTAGGTATCTTGTCAAGGGCGTCCAGCGGCTAAAGCACTGCTCTATCAGCGCCTCGGAGAGACCAGGGGCAAGCACTTGAACAAGGGGAGTAAATCGGTTAAGCTAAGCAGCAGCAGTGAAATCGGCTGCCCCCATATGCTCGGCCCAACTGCTCTCCAATCTCTCTGGTGTTCTAGATGCTTTAGGATGCCATTAAAATCCAGCCTCTGGATTCACACACATACACAATGTACTCATGCATATATATGCATTTTCCTGATAATCTTCACATCCAGGTAAAACATGAACATGAAGTGCACAAAGGGTTCCAGGGTAGGTATGGCCACTGGGAAGTGTCATTCATTGCTGAGGTGCACATGCCGAGGAGAGGCGTGGGTGCTAGTGAGAGGAAGATACTCTCTTGCAAACACTAGCAGGTACCTCGGAAGATTCCAGTGTCCCCAGGAAACACGTGCCCAAGGAGCACCTGCGCTCACAGCCTCCCTCACCCCTGTGGCAGTTGAGGGCGCTGAAGGGGGAGCCGCTGCTCTTCTGACTTCACGCCCCGTTTCTCCTTTTCAGCAGACCAAGAGCTGGAAGTTCTATCAGGCTCCGAGCTGTGAGGACCCGGTGAGCAGGGCCGGAGGCGGGCGGGATGCCGGGGACCCGCGGGCGGCTAGTCTCCACGCGGGGGCGTCCGTCGGCCGGACAGTGGGCCTGCGGCTCCTCCCACCCGTCGGGCGCGGCCGGACGCACCATTCCCGAGCGCCTTGACGCTCCGCGTCTCCCCGCCCGCCGGACGCCGTGTCCGTGCGCGCCGCATCCCCCTGAGCTGCATCCTCGAGCGCCGCATCCCCGAGCGCGCCCTGACGCTCCACGTCTCCCCTCCCTGCGGACACCCCATGCCCGCGCACCCCTTGCCCAGACGCCCCATCTCCGCGCGCCGCATCCCCGGGCACCGAATCCCCGCGCACCCTGGCGCTCCGCGTCTCCCAGTCCGCCAGACGCCTCGTCCTCCCAGGGCGCCCAGTCCTCTGACCCTCCGCGTCTCCCCGCCGCCCGCCCCCCCTTAGCCCAGCTGCCTGCGACTGATCCAGCGCCTGACCTTCACCCCAGCCGGCGGCTGCGAGTCCCTGACCCACGGAGCGCTGGCCGAGAGCACCAGGGCTTCTCTCTCCAGCAACTGCCCGGGCTACGCGGGCGCGCAGGTAACCCCGGCTGGGCGCGGATTCGGGCGCCCAGGCTCAGGACAGAGGGCGGGGCGCTTGTCTGGCACCTGGTGAACCTGGGTTCGAGGCCCAGCACCCCGGACGGTCTCCCGGGCTAACCTGTCGGGAACCAGGAGCACCGCCGGGTGAGGCCCCCAAACGGAAAATAGATCAAAAGAAAGTGCAGCATTTCTGCACGAGTCGTGGTTTGGATTCAGTCCTGATTTGGGGGAGGGTAAACATTGTAGACTCTCCTCTCACCTCTTGGACTGATATCCATCCATTTCTAGGGCTTCTGATTAGAATTCGGGCTCGAAACTTTACTCATTAGTGCTCTAAACTCCACTCATTTCTAGGGCTTCGGAACAGAATTAGGGCTTTAAACTTCAGGTCAGTGTTTGGAGGTAGGAAAGTGAGCGTTGGGCATCATTCCTCATGTCCTGGGAATGGAAGGAGGTTATCCAAAACACAGTTCGAGGGCAACTGCCTGAACTTTCAAAAACAAGTCCCTGGACGTGGCTTCTTAGGAGATGTTTATGTATTCAGAATTTGAACAGAATTGCTTGGGCTTATTGTTTGTGTGTTTCTTCCTTAAAATATTAAGTTACACCTTAACTCTATCCCCCTGGTGAATTTAATTGCTTTCATGAGCAGTATTTTTTGTGTCTTTGCAGCTTGCACATACACTCATCTGAATGAATGTGCAACTAATTATGGAAACAGTAGTAGAGAGTTAGGAGCAGAAAGTGGGGAGACAACCTGCTTGCCCGTGATTTATAGGTCTATCCTGGCTAACTCTGAAAAGTTAGATAAATTACTTGGCCTCTGTGTATTTACTTTCATCAGCAAAATAAGGATCATAAGAGCAAGACTATATAAAGTGTTTAGAGGATAAAGTAAGTTAATATATGTAATAGTACTTGAAATTGTGCCTGGCAGTAAGTCCTTTATAAACATTTATTTCAGTCTAGAGAGGTTGTACATTGGGAGGTCACTCACTTGCCTAACACACTGTCAGGTTTGATCCTTGGCATCTTATATGGCTCCTTGGAACCTCACAAGAAATAAGCCCTGAGCACAGCCAGGTGTCACCCCTCCAGCAAAAAAAAGCAAACATTTATTTCCACAGGCATGATATATATAGATATAGATATATATATGTATGTATATGTATCATGTCTGTGGAAATCTGTATATATATGTATATACACACATTTGTGTATGTCCATGATGCCACAAAGAGTTGAGTACAACTATGTACTATTGCTCTCTATCAACTGTAGATACACAGTACCCATCACATTTTGGGGGATAATAATTGAAACCCTAGGGCCATCCAGATTGAGCTGAGGTTAGACACAGCCTATTTAGAACCCTGGTTTGGCTCTCTGTTTTCTTATTCAGAGATTCACTCGGGCCTGTCTATTACCATCCACACTGAAATTCCTCGAACAGGCAGAGAGGACATGAGAGAGAAAGCATGTCTGGGATCAGCTATTTAAGCCGCTCTCAAAATCACAGCAGGCCTAGAGAAAACCGAGCACATTTTTTTTTAAATTTAGGAGATTTTAGACTAAGAGTTTTCCTTATTAACACTCTTATTGTTGGTTTAATATGCTGATTTTCCCGGCATTTTTGTTTTTTATTTTTTTAATTTTTTCCCCTCATTTTATTTTTGAGTTGAATATTGTCCTTATCTAGAGGGCCCTGTCTGTCACCGCCAAAGTGAATGACTAGGCCAGAAGTACCTGATAGTTGTTTTGAGTTCATATTCCTCTTCAAAGAACGCCTTTGCATGACTGTAACACTTTTAGGTGGAGGGGGAAAGAGTGTAGGAGTATTAAAAATAATGCAAATAACAAGTCTATTGAATTAGGTTTATAAATAGGCACAAGAGTGGTTCTGCCCTTGAGGAACTTTTGATCTTGTCAGGGACATGATATCATTATATTGTTAATTATTTTCATCACTTGATAAACATTCGGTGCTTCCAATACATAAGACGTGGTGGGGAATACCCATGACACAATACTACAAACAGAATGGGAGTGAGAGTCAGATGCAATGATACATATTCTGGGTCCCTGGCAAAGTTTCCAAAGGGAAGGGCTGAGCAGTTGGCTGAGGCTTGTGAAGGAGGCAGTGCTAGGTAGAGAGTGGGGTCACTTCTAAAGAAAGTAACACACACAGAGACACAGAGCTTGGCACAGAGAACCAGCCTCTCGGTGGTTGTTAAAGGTAGTGACAATTTTGATTAATTAATCTTTCTGTTCCACAGATAAATAATACCCAAGCAAAGAAGAAAAGAGAAGTCACAAGAAAGTGCCTGGAACAGTTCTCATACTTAGTACAAATCTGGCGTCATTTCAGCCGGTGTTCCTCTCAACCGAGAAATAAATCCTGATTTTAACTATATTCCTCCCTGCCCCCGCCCCTCAAAAATAACAAGCATCTTTATTAGGTAGATGGAACATTAGTTTAACTGTGACATGTAAAGGACCATAAATAGCTATTTTTAAATTACAGAGTGTATTTTAAAATTTATTTTTGTAAGCCTTTATTGTATTAAGTAAGTTTTGGAGGTAAGCATCTCCAATTGTGGGAGAGAATGCTCTAGAATTGGATGCAGGGCCCTGGCCTTGTGGCAGTAATTCCCAGTTTAGATTCATAAGCCTTATTTTCAGGGAAGAGTCCAAAATAGAGTAAGAAGAAAAGAGTATGTTGTCTTTGTTTCTAAAGAGTATGTAAGAGTATTTCAAAAGCAGGCATTTGTTCATGTGTTCCAACTCTTCAAGCTTTCTCATAATGAAATTTTATAAAGGAAGAAATTAAAAGTAAAAGGAGCACAAAACTGTAACATAGTGAAGTAATTGGACGTAATTTTAAGCAGTATATTGGAAAGTATTTTAAGTCATATTTTGTGTAAGAGGAGTGACACATGCCAGCCAGATCAAGTTAATGTACCATTGTAAATGCTGAAATATGTGTATTTTTGCATTTGTCAAATATATTCTTAATTTATTTTTAAAGCACTTTTTAAAAATGTACATGTTTCTTTGTAATTAAAACTTTATATTTCTTAATAAAACAATTTTGTTTTTTAAATTTAGTTCATAGATAATTTTCATATATACTTTTCTGATTCACCACTTTTTTGTTTAGAATTTTGCCTCCCCCAGCCTTGGAACCCAATGAATGACCACCCCTCTCTTGCTTTGTACCTATTGTCACTGACTGTAGAGAAAATAATTGGGTATACGGGACTTAAGGATACAATCATATATTATACATCACAATCATATATTATATATCACAAGTCTTTCCTTTTGTTCCCTGTTGAACTTTCCCAAACCTGAAACAGATAAAGGAAACAAAAACAGGAAAGGGATGTATAATATGTGATAAATAAGAAATACATATTTGGTCATTTTCCCATTTCTTACAAGGGGTTCCTAAAACCCTGGGAATTTCCTAAATGATGACAAGTATTGACCTTCTTTGTTATGGTAACAAGATGACCTTTGAGAATGCCCTGAGTCATCTAAGGATACAGGAGGTTGCTGGAGTAACCACCACATCTTTGGAGAGATGGAACTTTTCCAACCTCTTGAGCCCTGCAAGAGCTGGAAACTGGTCAGTTGTCATTGACAATGACTTAACTCTGCCTATGTAATTAAAGCCTCTATTTAAAACCTCTACTTAAATATTTGACCAGGGCTGGAGAGATAGTACAGTGAATAGTGTGATTTCCTTTCACATGGCCAGAAGAGATCCCTGACCACAGAGCCAGGTGTAAGACCTAAGCACAACTTGGTGTGACCCCAAAAATTGAAAAAAAATTAAGCATTAAATAAAAGTTGTATGAACAATTAGGAAGCAAAATCTGGGCTGGAGAAGTAAGGATACAGATCATGTAAGTATCTGTATGTATAAGCCCCAATGTAAAAAACTTCAGTATGCATTCCAACCCTTTATGTTAAGACCAGAATTTGTAAAAACTTGCTTTCCACTGACCGTAGAACACATACACTGAATCCACACTGGACTGTCAAAATAAAAAGCAACTGATGAATTTCAAAAAGTAGTGTCTGATCCCCAAATGTTACTTTGAAAATTTTCTTACTGTGTTAAGATAGTCTATCATTGTCACATAATTTTTACTTGAGTGTGATACGCAAGGGTTAAACTGCAGTTTTTGTTCTGCTCTTCCTATCCCTTTGAATCAATAAATGCCTTATCCTGATGTATTGTTATCATGCTGGGAGAGGTAGAAACATGAGCAGGTAACAAAGCACAGGTAACCAAGGAGGCAGCCAGAGACAGGAGCTTTGAGTAGACCTTTCCGGGAACTGGGAAGAAATGAACAGATCGTAAATCATAAGTTATGAATCAGAACAGAAAAACTCAAACCCTTCTGTTACTTTGCAGGAAGGGGAGCAGGACCATGGAAAAACCCGTAAATTAACACATGTCTCCATGAGACCTCAGACAGAATGTGTCCACCACAGGGATTCCGAGCAACAAGCCCCTCCACAAGTCCTATTCTGTGCCCCCCTTGCCTCAGTTTCCCTCAGTCTACTGTGGTGATGTACCCACAGAGAAACACCATTCTGTGCCCTGCTTCTTTTTGTTTTACCATTGCTATGATTGCCAGAAAAGCTCCTATAAAAAGTGCTCTGTACCCTTGCGCAGGGCCACAATTTAAGGTGATTGCCTAGTTGCAGTCCATTTTGACATTAAATAATTAAATGTTATTGCTTTCTCAACGAAAGATGCTTTCAGTGTGATTAAGTGAATTATGTTACAAGAAGAATAAGTAATTTACGTGGTTTTTATTATTTATTTTTAAATTTTACTAAAACACCTGACTTACAAAGTTATTCATAGTTGAGTTTTATAATAATGCAGCACTTATCATACCACTAGTGTCAAATTCCCTCCACCAATGTTCCCAGATTCCCTCTTTTATCCCCCACCAATCCACCCACCCCAGTCTGCTCTCTTGACAGGCATCTTTTGAAGTTTGGTTGTTAAAGTTTGGGTCTCTTGATTTCAGTGTTGTTGACTCTGTGGTTTGGATATTTGGATCTATCATTCTTAAAATTACTTTTATATCTAAATCCCCTAACCTGGCCCCCATTGCTTTTCATCAGACTCTTCTCTCCCTCCTCTCCACTTTTTCCTTTCCTTCTCCTCCCTATACTATAGGACCAAGGATGATCTAGGCACCCTCCATTTGAAACATTGCTTTCTCCCATCCAGTTATTCTAAATACCATATATAAGTGATATCTCACTGTGTTTATCCTTCTGGATTACTTCATTTAACATGATGTCTTCCAGTACCATCTATGTCACCACAAACTGCATGATTTCATCATTCCTTAGAGCTGTGTGTTATTAAAATTTATATTAAAATATCTATGAAATATATCACTGGATTACTTGACATCCCGTTACTCATCGATTTGCTCAAGCAGGTACCAGTAACGCCTCCATTCATCCTTGTCGCATGCTAGTGTCGCATCCTTTGCCCAATGGCATCTTCTTACTCCAGGAACACGAAGCCTCAAACTGTTCATTCAGGGTCTTGCCAAAGAAGTCTGACCATCTCGTAGGTGGGCGGCCATGTGATCTTTTGATGTCCCGTGGAATCCAGTTGGTAACGGCTCTAGTCCAGCAGTCATCTCCAAATCTCATTATGTGTCCAGCCCATCTGATTTTCAACGCTTTGGCAAAGGAGACACCGTCCCTGATTCTTGATCGTCAATTGAGATCAGAACTCCGGATTCCTTCTGTCATTTGAGTGAAGCGTGATACGACAAGCATAGATCTTTCAATTCCTGTTTGGGAGACCCGAGTAGCACTCTCATCCTGTTTTTGTAGGACCCAGGTCTCTAAGGCGTATGTTAATGCAGGAAGAAGAGATGTGCCCAGAGCCGGAGGATCTTTGTCCTCTTAGCTATTTTTTCAACGCTCTTGAAGGCATTCCATCCCGCTCTCTTCCTCCTGCGCAACTCAGGTTACAGGTCGTTCATCATGTTGACTTCGCGACCTAGGTACACGTAACTGCTGCTTTTGGAGACGTTCCTTCCATTGAGAGCGAATATAACATCAGGAAAGACACCATTTCTCATAAACATTGCCTTCGTGAGATTCAGCTACAGTCTGACCTTTCCACAATCATGGTCGAAGTCGGCCAGCATTTGTGCCACTTGGCTAATGTTTGGTGTTTTTAGAACGATGTCATCAGTGAACCGAAGGTGGTGTAGTTGCCGATCATCTATCTTCACTCCTATTCCTTCCCATTCCAGTCGTCACATGACATTCTTGAGGTTGGCACTGAAGAATTTTGGTGAAATGGTATCACCCTGCCAAACCCCTCTGTTTACGTTGATGATCACTTTCTTGTAAAATGGTGAGATCCCAATGGTGAATCCATAATACAGCTCACAGAAGATCCTGATGTACTGAATTTGAATGCCCTGTTTGGTTAGGGCTTTGATGACCGCTTCAGTCTCAACAGAATCAAAGGCCTTCTTTAAATCAATGAACATTAGATGGAGCAGCATCTTGAACTCCCAAGAAACTTCAATGAGCTTGGTTACTGTGTTGATATGGTCACTCATGCTGAATCCTTCCCGGAATCTGGCTTGCTCACATGGCCTGCCTTCATATAGTGTTCTGCCAATCCTATTCAGGATGACTCGAGTGACTAGCTTGTAGATGGCAGACAACAGGCAGATCAGGCAAAAGTCGCCAATGTCATGGATGTCTCCCTTCTTGTACAGTAGAACCGTCCTGCTGGTTTTCCATTGGGCCAGAACCTTGCATTCAGACAGGTAGCATGTGAAAAGCAGAACCAGTGTATTGATGAGTACTGATGGCAGATTCTTCAGGGATTCGGGTCTGACCTTGTCTGGGTCGGGTGCTGTTTGCTTCTTTACCAACGAAATGGCATGTCAGATATTGGAAGGGAGAATGTTGGGAACAACCTATCCATCCTGCGGAATTTGGAATGTGGACAGGTGGACGTGGCTATCAAAGAGATCCAAGTAGAAGTCATAGATAATCGTCTCCATTGCCCTTCTAGAAGATGTGATAGATCCATCAGGACGTCAGAGGGCAGTCATCTTGGTCTTGTAGTTGTCAAAGGACAGACAGGCATTGCAAATGCTTTTCCCAGCTCCTGCCACATCTGCCAGCACTGCTGCTCCTCTTTCTTTAAGGTCTTCCTTTACTGCTTCTCTGCACTGCTTTGCTAGCACAGACATTAACTTTTGGTTGCCTAGGGCTTGCACCCAGCCACGGTGGTGAATGAACTTGAGAGTTTTCGAAGACAGGCATCTTTTTGTGTGGCTTTCTCTCTCTCTCAGAGTTCCTCGCAGAATCATGGAGGTGCTGAACCAGTAGATCGTATTCTTTGTCAATGTCGTCAAGGACAGCATCTTCCCATGTTGCCGCAATAGTGCCAAAGAGCTCCCAGTTGGTGGTCATTCTGGGAGTTCTCTTCTTAAACTTTGCAGCCCTTTCTTCCTGCTCCATGAAGTAGAATTTTGCATGAAGGAGACAGTGATCATATCCTGTTTGGAATTTTGAGACAACAGCAACATCAGTCAGGCAAGACTGTCGATTGAATATGATGTGGTCAATTTCATTGTGGAACCGTCCACCGGGAGACTCCCATGTCCAACATTTAGATTCAGCCTTCTGGAACTGTGAGTTACCATGGATGGTCTTGGTCGACATGATGAACTCAGACAGTCTCTCACCCTGTTCGTTCCATTCTAGGCCATGGATCC